TTTTGTTGCGTTTGGGCTGCATACACCTCCACAGAACTCCCAGAGGCGGCAGCACCCACTATCAGGTCTGCAGAGTCGGTGGCTGAAGCTACAGTCTCTCCTGAGGTGGTGGTGCTCGCTGCTGTGTTCCCCGAAGCGATGGTGCCCGCTGCAGTTTCTCCAGAGCTGGTGGCACATGCTGCAGAACCTTCCGAAGCGGCGGTGCTCGCTTCAGCTCCTTGCGTGGTGGTGGCGCCTAGAAACGCACATTCCACCTGTCATGTCAGGGTCGAAGAAACCTTTGACGAACTCTCCCTGTATCCTGAGGGCACTACTCTAGAACCTCCAGAGGTGGCGGCATCCGCTGCAGAACCTCCAGAGGTGTTAGTAGTACCCACCTGTGAACTTCCTGCTCATCCTGTTCCAGCCAAGGAGGCCGTCTATGAACTCTCTGCTCATCCTGTTCCGGCCAAGGAGGCCATCTATGAACTCTCTGTCTGTTCTGTTCCGGCCAAGGAGGCCATCTATGAACTCTCTGCTCGTCCTGTTCCGGCCAAGGAGGCCGTCTATGAACTCTCTGTCTGTTCTGTCCCGGCCAAGGGGGACGTCAGTGAAAAATCTGCCTGTTCTGTTTCGGCCAAGGAGACCGTCGGGGAATCCTCATCCTGTCCTGTCACGGTTATGGAGGCCGTTTGTGAACTTTTGTCTTGTCCCGACCCAGCCAGGGAGGCTGCCCCTGATCGCTCAGTCTTGTCTATCAACCCCAATGTTCTGTCTGTGTTGTCTGTCTCTGCTCTCTCGTTGTTACAGTCTCCGCCATGGTCTCTACTGTCTGGTTCTGGTGGTCCTCTGTAACGTCTGTCATGAATTCGGTTCATGGACTTCCGTTAATTCACCACCAGATGTCACCCTTTCCATTACATTGACTCTCGCACTACACAAACTGTTGCATAGCACCCCGGACTACATTTCCCATCATTCTTTGCACACTGCCCTGATTGCACTCATTGCACACAGCTGTTTCTAATTACCTCATTCTCTATATAACACCCACTCTAACCACATTTCTCTGAGTATTGTTTAGCCTGTACCCCTTTCCGAGTCTCCGTGTTTTCCTTGTTTTTCCTTGCCTTGCCTGTTTTTGCGGTTTTTGATCTTTTCCTGTTTTCTTGGATTTCTCCCTCTCGTCTCGCCCCTGTGATTCTGTCTGCTTATCTGTGACCTACGCTAGCCCTGTGACTATTCTTGTGTTTTGCCCGCCATATACCTGTTTGCCA